ACATATTGAAAGTAGTTCCCTGTGTTATACAGCAGGCCCCTGTTGGTTATCCATTTTATATGTAGTAGTGTCATATATTATTTCCAAGCTCTATGTTTATCCTTCTCCCCTGGCCTTTACCCTATGGCAGAGATAAGTTTGTCTTCTGTGCCTGTGAATCTATTTCTATTTTGTAAGTTAGGGCATTAACTTGGTCAGGTTGATAAGGAGTGCAAGTCTAAAGGCCCTTTAAGGAGGAGGTGAACATTCTTTCCTTTTCACATTCTTTTCCTTAAACATGTAGGCCTCATAGGCAGCAGTATTTCTTGCTCAAGGACATGCTTTTTTGAGCTCAGAATGTATTCTATGGGAGAAGGTCTGGGTACAACTTCCATAGCCTTGAGCTCTGGGTTAACCTGTTCCTTCTGGCTAATCTCATGCTGATGTCATCCCAAGGATGTATGTTACAGGAAAGGGTCTGGGCAAAGTTTTCACAGCCTTGAAGTATTTTTTCTATTCTCAGAAGTTAGCAGAAAATTATTCAATGCTCTGCTTACAGTAGCGAGGTGGGTAATCTTTCTACCCCCATCTGATATCTATGTCAGAAACTTTTTTCTGTCACTATCACTTTAACAAAATTTCTACTACACAAAAGTCCGAGTGACTGAGACTGTCTTTGGTCCCGGAGTTAAATCTTCTTCTTTGGAGACCATGAATCCAATGGAATACCATAAACTTTCGTCTATCATCATGGCGGCTCATCCAGGATCCCAAGACAAGGTGTAAGCCATCATTTTGAGAGCTAAGCTGAAACTATCAGAAGTAAGTTCATTTGTGTTTTTCTTTTAGATCCCACATATTAGTGATATCATATAATATTTGTCTTTTTCTATCTGACTTACTTCACTTAGTATGATACCTCTTAAAGCTTCCACTCAGAAGTGACACTCATCTCTCTGCTCACATCCTATTGGTCAAAAACATCCTATGGTTAAGCCTCATGGCAAAAGGGCAGGAAGTATTTTCCTCCCACAGAAAACTAATGCAGGTCACGTGGCAGTGGGGATGGATGTATATTCCTTCTACAGTGAGAGCAGCAAATAATGGAGGTGATAATATAACCTACTCTAGGGGCACTGAAACCAATAGAATACTTGCAATCAACATGAAACATGGCACCTGTAAGTGACGTGGTACATGGACACAGTAGACGGTCAAGGTGATGTAAGCAGTCAAAGTGGTACATGTAAACAATAGATATCTATCTGTAGCCAACATTTTGAAAATCAAGCCACTAGTGAAAACTCTGTAATGGCCTATATAGGAAAAGTTTCTAAAAACAGTAGATACGTGTATAACTGACTCACTTTACTGTGTCCCTGAGACTAACACAACATTACACATAATTATACTCAAATAAAAATTTATAAAAGAAGAAAGGAAATTTAAGCCAGTATTATATGGGGCCAATGTAACCCACGGACCAGACTTGGTGGATGGATCTGATATGGTTCATGGGGCTGATGTGGTATATTCTGCATCATCTTGTGGAAGGACACAGAACTTGGCATTAATTGACCTGAGTTCTAGTCCCAACCTCGCTAACTTGTTTTGTTCCTTTGGACAATTTACTTCCTTTCTCTGGGACTTACTTTACTGAGCACCTCAACTTCAAGGGCTTTCCTCATAGCTCAGTTGGTAAAGAATCTGCCTGCAATGTAAGAGACCCCGGTTCAACTCCTGGCTTGGAAAGATCCACTGGAGAAGGGATAGGCTATGCACTCCAGTATTCTTGGGCTTCCCTTGTGGCTCAACTGGTAAAGAATCCACCAGCAATGCGGGAGACCTGGGTTTGATCCCTGGGTTGACGATCCCCTGGAGAAAGGGAAGGCTACCCGCTTCAGTATTCTGGCCTGGAGAATTCCATGGATACAGTCCATGGGGTGGCAAAGAGTCGGACATGACTGAGCAACTTTCACTTTTACTTTCAACAGTTTCTAAGACCTCTGTGTCTCTAAAATTCTATGTTAGAGTAGGTGGGATGCGTGAAACTCAAATGCAGTAAACTTGTGAATCTTCTATGAACCCTAAAATGAATTAGGAAACCATAGAAGAATAAATGATCTGCATGTGTGCAGCCCACTTGGGGCTCTCAGCATCAGACTTAGCATGGACATCCAACTTTCTTTCATGTATCATTGGTGACCAAGAGGTCTTCGGAAGAGTCAATTCCAGTATTTCTTGAGCATCCATTAAGACCCAACCAATACCGGGTCCTGTGGAAGCCAAGACAGATACATAGAGAGATTTACAGTCTTGAAATTATAACATCACAACTAATGAAGGTGCCACAGTGACCTGTGGAGACTGATGGCCTCATAGGAGGGAGATTCTCTCAGTGGGTGCCAGACACTGGGAACCAGGCTCCACCTCACCCCACTCCCATCACCACCGCATACCTCACCACTTTGTATTCTATCCAGAGCTTAGCATCAGGTAGAAGAAGGGAAACCCAAGAAAGGTTTTTTTGTCTCTCGGCAGCTAGCCCTTGTCCTCTCTCTCTCTTTACATTGAAATACAATTTCTTTTAAAATTTTATGCTAGTTTCTATTTTTTCTCCAACCAGTGGAATGATAGGATAAAATAAAAATTAAGCTTAGTTACTGAGAAATGAACTTGTAGACCTCTCAGGTGTTCTATACAATATAGAAAAAATGGAGGAAGGAAACCCGCTTACCAAGAGCTGACGGGTAAGGTTGTGGTCACAAATTAAGATTTAGCTGATACCTGAGGATGAGCATCACCCATGCAAAGAACCAGGAGAAGGGCATTTCTGGCAAGAAGATTCCAGGTAGAAAGGCCTAGGAAAGGACTTTGAGTTTTCAGGAAAGGGCTTTGAATTGTCTGCAGAGCTGGAAGAAGGCTTATATAGTCACAAGTAAGTGAGCAGGAGAGGTAGAGATAACACTGAGAAGTAGGCAAAGGACAATCCTACAGATCCATATGAAAAGTGTTTATTTTATTCTAGGTGCACTGGGAATGCTTAGATTCTTACTGGGGAAGTGATGCAGTTTTATGGGTGATAAGCTCTGCTGCGAGTGTGACTTGAGGTGCTTGGAAAGGAGGTGAGAGAAAAGGTCTTTGGGGATGAGAATGTTTGGGAACTCATAGGCCAGGAGTGAGGAAAAGGAACTTCCCTCTTGGAGAGCTGAGGGGCATGTGGTATCCATGGGAAAATTCCAGGTTGAGGATGTTGGGAGAGGTGATTGCTGATAGTGAGGTTAATGTTAAGAAGACAGAGAGAGAACTAGGAAAAGGCAGAAGAGGAGATCTGGGGGATGAGACGAGGTTTTAATGAGATGTGGGCATCTGGGAATAATGAATGACTAAGGACCTGTGAACTTCCAGTGAGACTGTAATTTTACCCGTAGCACTTAGACACAAATTTGGGTGGTAGTATGGTTCCAAAGCATTCACTGAGAGATGTAACAGGGCTGGCTAGGCAGGGGGTTGAGTACTGATGCACCAATGGTGTGGCAAAGTTCCAGGCAGCATTTCAGAGGATTTCAAGCAGAAAGTGAAGGGTCCCATAGGTTGTTGGAACGTTCCCTCCATCTGGGAAGTGGTAAGGAGCTATGTGGCTGGTGGAAGGAACTTAAAACTTTTGAGAGCTTCCTGCTTCTGGGTTTGTGGGAAAGGGGGCTGCCTGGGGAAGAGGTCTTGTCTCTTGGAGTTCCTTCCAGAAGATGTGGAGTCTATCTCGTGGCTCTCCTACAACTAGAGTCAGGAATCAAAATAGTGGAGAGTGAATCTTGTGGGTGAAGTGATGAGGTTTTATCTGTCTCTCCCCTATTTTTAAGAACCCGGGATGAGGACCAGGGTGAAGAAGAGAGGGTGACTATTTTCAGAAGAATGGCTTGGGAGTACCGATGAGGGGCTTGGGTTGAAGAGGAGCAGTTAGTGGGGAAGACCTAGGCATGATATCTGAAGGCGCTAGACTTGGGTGGTGGCACTGAGTGGGGAGGTGTTGAAAGATGTGATGAGGAAAGAAGCAAGAGCCTCTTGATGGGTAGGTGAAAAGGGGAGAAATCAAGGAAGCTTCTGGGGTTTAAAGCAGATTTACTACTGTCTCTGCTTCCTTGCAGTTCACCGATGGGGACGGTTGGTTGTCAGCTGTCATCACTGATCCCTGGCACTGGTGACAGGAAGTCACAGCCCCTGTCCTCATGGAATTTGCATTCCACACACCAGCTGTTCTTAGGAAGCCTATAGGAACATATGGTTGGGGTCGAAAAAAATGTTGTTAAATTCATTCTCTGTTAATCTGGCCTCTATGAGGGGTGTTGTTTTTTTGATTTTTACATGGGCTTTTCTAGAACCTGCGGCAGTAAGCTTGGCACCGTCCCTCCCAAACGCCCTGGGTTCCTGAGCCACCCTCTCTCTGCCTTGTCTTCCTCGGCTCCTCCTATCCCGTCCTCCTGCTCCACCAGGACAGCGAGGGCTCTGGGCAGCCTTCCCTGACCGCCCTGGGCTGAGTGGGCCCTGGCGGTCCCTCAATGTGCCCACAGCACCCAGGGCTTCCCTCTGTTGTCCCAGGTGTCACACTGCATAGTGTGGAACAGGAGCCTGCGGGCCGGGACCTGGTCTGTTCCCACTGTGTCCCCTGCTGCTGGGAGCGGGGCCCGGCCCATGGCAGGCACTCAGGGACGGCATGGTGTGGCCTCATTCCCTCCCCCAGACATTGAGGCCCGTGGGGGAAGCGCCACGTCCGATGCGCCCACCGCAGGCCCCACCCCGGATCCTGGCCCCGACAGGTGACCGACAGACACTTGTTGACTGAATGAGTGAATGATCTCGCCTTCCCAGTGTCCTGCTGGGCTCTCATCCTGTCTCAGTCTTGAAATCGGGAAACGCTAAGTAGTCATGTATGGATGTGAGAGTTGGAGTATAAAGAAAGCTGAGCACTGAAGAATTGCTTTTGTTTTTTTTTTTTTTTTTTTTTAGTTAAAAATGAACTCGGTATGTTTAATAAAGCTTGGTATTACCAAAATCGCGGTACAAACATCAAGTCACACGCCCACACGACAGAATTCCATTTACAAAATGTCCCCTGGGAGGCCTCCACGGCCACGCCAGGATCCACCCAGGCCTGTGGTCCAGGGGGCAGGGAGGCGAGGGGAGGAGGGTGGGCGGGCAGAGGAGGGAGAAGGGGAGGAAGACTAAAAACAGTCCATATAAAAGCTCAAAAAGAGCCAGCCAATGGTATTATCACAATGATACAGGTACAAATAAAAGCAAAAATTAAAGGACCCAGGCTGATACGGCAGGCTACGCTGCCAAGAGCTGGACGGCCGCCCTGGCCGGGCCATCCTGGCGGCGCCCGGCCGCCCTCCCTGCGCTTGCGCCCCGCTCTCGCTCTCGCACTCACTCGCTCGATAGGAAACACGGAAGGTTATTTTGTGTTTGGAGCTAGTAACCTTGGTCAAACGAGTCCTCCGAGGAATCGCTGAAGGAGGAACGGGGCTCGACCTCTTGAAGAAGAATTGCTTTTGAACTGCGGTGTTGGAGAAGACTCTTGAGACTGCAAGGAGATCCAACCAGTCCATCCTAAAGGAAATCGGTCCTGAATATTCGTTGGAAGGACTGATGCTGAAGCTGAAACTCTAATACTTTGGCCACTTGATGCAAAGAACTGACTCATTTGAAAAGACCCTGATGCTGGAAAAGATTGAAGGTGAGAAGAAGGGGATGACAGAGGATGAGATGGTTGGATGGCATCACCGACTCAATGGACATGAGTTTGAGCAAGCTCCAGGAGTTGGTGACGGACAGGGAGGCCTGGCGTGCTGCAGTCCATGGGGTCACAAAGAGTCGGACATGACTGAGTAATTGAACTGAACTGAACTGAACTGAAGTTTTGTCCTCAGTCCTCTTGTTGTATCTATATTTTCTCAGTGATTTTACCAAAGATGAGAATCCAATGAAAACAATAATAATACTTAAAATAGTAAAAATAAAGCATTGTCTATGTGCTGGATAGAAGCCAAGCACTATGTGTGTGCACAAAGTTGAAAGTGTGTGTGAGTGTGTTTATTTTTATGTATATGTTTGTGTTTATGAGTGTGTATATGTGTATGTGAGTGTGAAGAGGGGAAAAATACAAACCCCAGACTGGGAGAAATTATTGCAATATGTGTATACATATATATAATTATTTGATATATATATGTATATGACAAAGGATGAGCACATAGAATATATTTAGTATGTATATAAATCTATAAGAGAATTACCAAAAAAAGATACAGTAGAAAAGTAAGTAAAAGACTTAAAACACTTCACAAATGATGAAATAGGAATTTCCCTTAAGCATGTGAAAAGATGTCATTAATCTTCATTAGTACTAACAATAAGATACCCATTCTCAATCACTAGATGACCACAAAACTAGGAAGTAGGAGAATAGCAAAGGGGTGGTGAGCTTGTAGAGGCTGGCCCATCTCATACACACCTGGTGGGACTGTGAATTGTACTACTACATTACCCAGTAATGTTAATCCTGGCAATGCAAATGGGAGAATCTCTGTATAAGTGGATGAAATCACATGAATGCAAGAATGTTTACAGTGACATGCTTTGAAATAGCAAAAGCCTTTTGTTTCCCAAATGTCCATCAACAAAACAATGGGTGCATATTCTTGAGACATTAGATTCATATGATGGAATATTGGAGAGCAATAAAATGAATTCAGTTATCAAGTGATCAAGATAATATGAAAGTCAAAAGCATGATGTTGAACAAAAGCAAGCCACAGAATCCATACACTATGGTTACATGTATATAAAGTTGGTAAATAGAAAAAAAAAACCTGTATCTTACATAAAGCCATACATATATGTGGTAAAATTACATAGAGAAATAAGGGAATAATTACAAAGTCCAGGACAGAGTGGGAGTGTGCGTGGATGAGAAGAATGTAATCAGGGGATGCACTGGAACTGGTAATTTTCTATTTGCTCTCCTGTTGGTGGGTTCACAGATCTTCATTTTATTATAGTTCTTTAAATATTACATACATGTAGCGTACAGTCTTTTGTATGGTTGTTACAAGAAAACATGCTGCATGCAAAAAAAGAGAAGAAAAAGAGAGCAGGTAGATAAGGTGTGGAAATCATTTATTTCATTAGCAGGACCAAAGCAAACAAAACCAAATGTTGCAGCATATAAATGGCTATTTGTGGCTTGGGATAAAATCCCCAGTGTTTTCACCATACATGGATTCAAAGAGTCTGTAATAAGTGGTGTACTCCAGAAAACTGTTAGAGAAGTCAAAAAGTGGTCTTGGTGATGACAAAGACAATGATACTGAAGAAAAAAATTCTAAAATATTTTAATTAAATAATAGTAAAAAGAATTAACTTAGAAATTATTTTGGGGGTATTTTCCTGGTGGTCCAGTGGTTGAGACTTTCAGTGCAGGAGGTGCGGGTGTGATCCTCGGCCGGGAAGCTAAGATCCCACATGCCTCATGGTCAAAAAACCGGAACACAAACAATAGAAGCAGTATTGTGACAAATTCAAAAAAGAGTTTAAAAATGACCCACATGAAAAAAAACTTTTAAAAATTAAAAAAAAATTAATTTTATTGAGGTTACACTGATTTATAGCATCATATAATTTTCACATGTACATTATACTTCCCCTTCTGTGTATCTTACAACATGCTCCCCATCAAAGACTTACCTTCTGTTTGTCACCATACATTTTAATCTTTCTTCCTCCTCAATCCCATTTCTTCCTCCTCAGTCCCAACCCACACCCCCACCCCAATCTGGCAAACGTTACTCTGTTCTCTGTATCTATGCATTTGTTTTGTTTGGTTTGTTCATTTATTTATTGTTTATCAGTTTTTTATATTGCACATAAGAGTGATTTTAAGTCCTAATTACCTTCCCTTTATGATAGATGAAAATTTAATGTACACTCCCCACCCTATTCTTCTTTATCATCCTTTCAAATAGTTGTATCATGATATCAGATAAACCAGTAATCAGTGCTTATGTCATTATGATTGTTTAAATACCAATAACTTTACAGTTAGGTATACTACAAAAAAGTTTACTTTGTAGTACAGCTTTTTTTTTTCCTTGAGTTAATTATCACCTTATATCTTTATCTGTGCCTTGTTTTCCTTCTTTATCCTTATTTCTTCTTAATGCTTTGTCATCTTACCCACCTTATAATTTTCCCACTCTAATCTAGATCTGTCGTACACCTGTTCCCTGTCTCTTTAGAGGTCCTACTTTGGGCTCACTATTTCCTGGATTCCATGTTTTCCTATCTTAGCTTGCACCTTCTGTTGTGTACCACTTCCTGGTAAGAAAGGGAACATGGGAGATGGACTTGTATCTGCTTGCATCTCTGCAGTTGCCTTTAACTTGGCTGGTGTGGGATTATTCCTGAGAATACTGCAGGCACTGCTTTTTTGCCTTAGAGCCCCAAGTGCTGCCACTGAGAAGTCAGTGCCATGCTAGTTCTCATCCTCCTCTCTAGAAGCTTCCTTCTCCCAGCATCTGAAGTTCTGTGGTGATTTGCCTTGGTGTGGGCCTGTTTTCATTCCTGGATTAGGGAATTTGGAAGGATTCAGATTCTACAGTTATGGGAAATTTTATTTTACAGCGCCCCTTTTATTTTCTTTGTTCTAACTCTGGAATTTCTGTTAGTCAGATTTGAACCTCTTTTGATTTACTTCTAATTAGAAGAAAGATTTCTTTGATTTTTTTTCTGTCATTGAATATTTATTTTAGTTTTCATTTTTTATTTTATCACCTGAGAGTTCTTTATTCTCTGATTGCTCTTCTTTCATATCACTTACTTATTCTATAGATGATATGTTCAATCTTATCTCTCAGGATATGAATTATAGTTTTGGTTTTTTAAAAGTTTTCTTCTCTTCTCTTCATTCTGTTTCCTCAGCCCCTCCCTGTGGATTTCAGCCTCCTTTTTTCCTGTTGAGCCGTGTGGAAGGTGATAGTGTGGACTCTGGGGCCACGCTGCTGGGTTTGACACCTGGCTCTGCGTCATACTTGCTGTTTTTCTGTACTTTGTAACCTGTTTATAGACATAATAATAGTATCTACCAAAGAGGGCTCCTGTCAGCATTACGTGAGGTAATATATATATAAAACCCTGAGAACATTGCTGGCCATATAGTGATAATATACACTTGTATAGGATTCTTTTTCTGGATGAGGTGGTTGTTCCTGTCTGCTGAACCCTGGTGGTACATGTTTGAGACGTTCTCCAATGCTATCTGGAAGCTCTGCGCAGGTAGGACGAGGCGGGCAGGCCCCATTAGCTGTTGGACTTTCCCCTGTGTTGAAGGCAGCTTACTGACTCTCCGTCCGTCCATTCCAGTTTAGAGACCATACTTACAGGGAGCTAGAGATATCTGAGAACTATGTATTCTCAAACAGAAAAAAAAAATTATTTTTACATCATTTCCTTTCTTGTAGCATTATGAAAATGACTTTCTAGTGCAAAAAGAGTGAATTTTATTTTTGTAAATTAATTTCAATGAACAAAATTTTGAGCAAACAGGTCACATTTTCAGAATACCACAGTGTTTTACCCTGATCTATGTTTGACAATCTATACCATAATGAATGGATTAATGTATAGTATGCAGGTTACAGTCCATAGGGTTGCAATGAGTCAGACAAGACTGAAGCAACTTGGCACACATAGTAATTAATAAGTAACTAATTAGAGATTTTGGATTATACATGGGACATACGGAGAGTTTTAAGAGAAGAGAACACAGGTTGACAGCAGTTCACACTGGTAAAGCCAATAGTAAGCTATTGATGCAACTAGTTTAAAGGATTTGAAAACTATGTACCTTCCTTCTTTCCTCCTCCTCTGTTTTTTTTTTTTTTGCACATAGAAAATGGAATCAGTTCACTTAATTTGAGAGGTATACTTCAAAGAACTCATTTACATCACATCCTCTGCCATTATAGCCCTTAAATAAAGTATAATCAGGGTGTAGGAAATATTATCCCTCACATTGGTTTAAAATACAATTCCATACATTGAAGGGGGGAGAAGAGGATGACAGAGGATGAGGTGTTTGGATGGCATCACTGACTCAATGGACATGAGTTTGAGTGAACTCTGGGAGTTGGTGATGGACAGGGAGGCCTGGTGTGTTACAGACCATGGCGTCACAAAGAGTTGGACATGACTGAGAGAATGAATTGAACTGAACTGAACTTTCCAAAGCTACTAAAATAGCTTCAGAATTCAGAGAATGCAAGCAAACCAATAGCTAAAAATGTCCAATTCATATTTCTTTAAAAATATATAGGTTCAGCTTAAAAATATATAGTTTCAGCTTACTTGCACCCTGGAAGGTGACCTATAGGTTGCCTAGCAACTTCAGACTAACTCTGGCTTGTCTAAATCCATGAAGTAAGTAAGTGTTAGTCACTCAGTCGTGTCTGACCCTCTGCGATCCCAATAGCCCACCAGGCTCCTCTGTCCATGGAATTCTCCAGGCAAGAATACTGGAGTGGGTTGCCATTCCCTTCTCCAGGGGATCTTCCTGACCCAGGGATTGAACCCAGGTCTGCTACACTGCGGGTAGGTTCTTTACCATCTGAGCTATAGGGAGGAACCAGAAGAATTCCGTGAACTCCTTTGCAATTCAGCGCCTGAACCATACCTTCTCCAATGAGGTCTGAATCCCTCTCAGGTCTATTCTTCCTTGGCTACTATCCCTTGGCCCTTGGATACCATATTGAGCTTCTTATATGTTACTCTTATTGTGGTTAACACTCCTTTACATCAAGTTTCCCTTCTGTAACCTTTTGGACCTAGAGAGGTATCTCTTTTTTGGACCTAGAGCGCTACAATCTCTCTAAACCTTTCAAAGTAAGTATCATTATCTCCATTTTACTGTAGAGAAAATCTGAAGCTCGAATAACAATTGCTCAGTGTGGTTAGGAACCGCAGCCAAAGTCTCAAAATTAGTAAATGGAGGAGCTGGGTTTCCTAGCCTGTTTTGTCTGTTTCATCTTTAGCCAATGTATTGGCCAAAAATATGGCCAATACAAAATATTGGCCTACCAAAATATTCAGCCCCTGAGCATCCATGCATCCCATATGTTCCATCCCATACTGAGCTTCATCTCTTCTCCCTGCAACTTCTCTCTGAAATCCTGTTTCCTAAAGTTAAACCACACCCCAAATCTCTTCACTGAATTTGCCTTCTATCTCTTTACCAAAAATCTGAAATTTCCCTAGGGACAACACTCTCAGATGGGCTTATTCATAAACTCTTTTCAATAGTTTCCACTCTCAATTCTAAATTTTCTGCAACCCAGTCTCTTCTCTGTTCTCTCCAACTTCTAATCTTACCATGCTGTTCTCTGGCTTAATCAAATCCCTTTGCCTTACCATTTCTTCCTATTGTACCACTAATATCTTGATGTAGCTGGATAGTGTCATCAACTCCTATCCTTCTTTTGCCTTTGTGATTTGGGGGCTTGGTACATCCTGCCAGTCTTTGTACATGACTCTTGCTTGCTTCCTCTCCCAGTGCCCCAGGACCTCTCCTCAAGACTCGCTCCTTACTACTTTTCAAAATATGGTCAGCAAACATTATATAACCTGCTGTGGAGTGGGAAGGTCAAACATTATTCTTCCTCTACAGGTTATATTCATCTTAACTGTTATCAACACCACAATCATCAGTTCTTTCTTATTGAGTCCAAAGCAGCTTCATTGATATTCAGTTAGGTTGAATCTGTATTACCTTCATGGGAACCATCACTTTTTTGCTGAGGACTATTAATTAATGTATCTTCAACAATTCTGATGCTAAAGAGGCCCAGAATTTGTCAGAAGGGAGCCTAATAGTTTTAAATTTCCTTTGGGTTCAAAGCAAGAATCTAACAATATTTCACCATGGCACCATTTCTTTGAATAACCTGTCATTTGTTCCACTAGGTGATTTAGACTTTCAAATTCAAAGCTAAATTTGGAATGGGAAAGTCTGGGATGGCTCTATAAACTGTGGGATATCAGGATGATGACAAGGATAAAATAATTGCCAGGGACTTCTGCCTCTTTTTCTGTTTGTTCTCTAGTAGTAGAAAGAGTGAAAGCAAAACTTGGAGGTGATTCTCTCAAGGTAAAATCTTACCTCTCTGACTCAGGCTTCACTGAGGTATTCCTTGCTTTTCTTGGTATGATAGATGCTGTGTGGCTAGTACAGTTGCTAAGATTCTGTGGAGCAATTTTTCTGTGCCTCCTAGAAGGTGCTGGGGACTCTTAGGGGCCACAGCCATGGATAAAAGGCTCTGACACGGGTAAGAGAAGCCAGCACCCATTATGATCTTTATATCCTTCCATACCTGTTGATATCCTCTTGAATAAAGTACTCTGTTAACACCATTATTACTCAATTCGGATTTGAACAAACAATTATTTTGAAAGCTCTACCCTGGGAGAACATAGATGAAGGTATCCCTGAGGAGCAGTGGTTGTTTGCAATCAGGACCTCTTTGTTTGGTATCTTGAAGGGATATTATTTTTCTACAGTTTTGCTGATAAGCTTCTTGATGACAGGTCCTATTTATTGAACTCACTAAATCCACATAAGAATGAAGTATACACAAATGCCAACCTTTTCAATTGTATTGCTAGTTATCCCTTTCCAGAGAGCAGAATGGCTCCTCTCTGTAAGTGGAAATGGTCTCAGCTGTTTGCTTGGTAACTGAGGCGTTAGGAAAAAGAAGTCAACTATAACAAGAAGAATGGCAATGTTTATGTAAAGCAAGCAGTGTATCAAGCACTGTTTTGAGAATGTTACCTACATTGACTTCTCACAACAATCCTATAAAGTGATGGTTTGCTGCAAAATATGAGCTCTGACCCACTACAGTTTCTTTTGGGTGACATTTTACCTGTGTACTGAGAGACTCCCTCAAAGTATCTCTTCACCATAGCAGGGGAACATCATGGAAATGCTGGATGGACAATCACCAACCCTTGAATCCCATTCCAAAGGTCACCTTTCCTTTACCCTGAAACTATGTTTCTTTAGATCTGTTCGTGCTCTCGATTGAGATAAAATAAAGTTCACTAATCTGGGTCCTATGAGCCATCTTGTTCCATCTACCTAGAGTTAGTTTAATAGGTCCAATCTTCATGAATTCGGTAACTCAACATTTGCTTTCAGTAAATGCTTTGATTTGTCAGACTCTTTGCTGGGCCCTGGGGAAACAGGAAAGAATTAGACATGGGTCTTTCCTTGGCAAGATGTCCATAGTTTAGCCTCTTGATGTTTGAAGACAGCCCACTGAAGCCATCATCATGTCCCACCCAGGTACTTACTTTCACATATCATCTCCCCTAACAGTCAGTGATTCTTGCATGTCCATAGGGTTACAGGAGGGAATAGGGTAGAAGGACCACAGAACCTATGGTTTCAGGTCTGGTCGTAGCCTTCTGTGTTCCAGGGACCTCATTCAGTGGTCCTGCCCCTGCCTGTTAGCTTGAGGAAAGCCCTCTTTACATCTTTGTTTCTGAGGCTGTAGATGATGGGGTTGAGAAAGGCAGAGATGACGTTGTAGAACAGGGCCAGTTTCTTGTCCCGCTCTGGGGAGGCATTGGCCCCAGGGTTCATGTACATAAACATGGCAGGTCCACAGAACATGGTGACCACAGTGATGTGGGAGGCACAGGTGGAGAAGGCCTTGAGCCGACCTTGGGCTGAGCGAATTCTCAATATGGTGGCAAAGATGCGGATATAAGAGGCCAGAATGAAGGAAAGGGGTACCAGAAGAAGGATGAAACCTAGGATGAAATCTACTTGGTCATTGAGGGATGTATCTGCACAGGCCAGCTTCAGAACAGCAGGAACCTCACAGAAGAAGTGGTTGATCTCATTGGGGCCACAGTAGGGCAGGCGCATAGTGAAGACAGTGTAAACTAGGGAGCAGCTGACACCCCAAAGTCCACAAAAGACCACCATTGCCCCACACAGCCATGGGCTCATGATAACCTTGTACCTGAGTGGGTAGCAGATGGCCACATATCTATCATAGGCCATGACAGAGAACAGCCAGCCCTCAGTGATGCCCAGCACCAGAAAGATGTACATCTGGGCCACACACCCAATATAAGAGATAGTTTTCTTCTGACAGACCAGATGCACCAGCATCTGGGGCACAGTGGTGGTGACATAGCTCACATCCAGCAGAGAGAGGACACTGAGGAAAAAGTACATGGGTGTGTGGAGGCGGGAGTCCAGGTGGATTACGGTGACAATGAGCCCATTGCCCACAAGGGTAGAGAGGTAGAGGAAGAGGAAGATGTTGAAGAGGATTGCATTAATTTGGGAATCCTTGGAGAAGCCCAGAAGGATGAACTCAGACACAGAGCTCTGGTTCTCCCAGAGGAAATCCTGCATTCTCCTTCAGCTGCAGAAAGAGAAATGAACCGACTATTGGCCCAGCTTAGGATGCATATCAATTACCATGATTGTTCAGTTGTTGGCAGGACCGATGATTTTATTTAGATACTACTCGGGATTAATACCAGGTCATTGACTGAGGTCTATCTAGGATGAGGCTAAATTTGGGAAGGGGAGGGAAAACTTTATGAGATTTTCATTTTCTCAAGTGTGAATTTTTCATCAAAACTTCCAGTTTCTCATTGTGTTCCCTCTCTTAGTCCTAGCAAGGCCACCTGCTTTCTTGTGCTTCAGGAGCCACCATCACACAGCACATTGCTTGAGGTTCTTCTGCCTTAGTCTTGGTGTAGAGTGTGATGACAAAGATTTGAAGTTTCCTTCTCCCTCCTGTAAAAAACCAAATCACTTAAAACTCTTTCCTTTGGTGATTTAAACTTCAGATCACTACATATATATAGGCAGGGCAAGTCAGAAATATTTGGCAATATTTCAATATTTGCCCAATATATGGGCAAGATTATATGACTCCAGAAACATGAAAATTTTTTTGGAAATTTTACCCAGGCCTGTGTTTCTTGAATCTTTGGTGTCTCTGGAAGCTTCCTCATATCCAATTTTCTTTCAGATGGAGTTGCTCACCACTGGGCCTCTTCCTGGCCTGATTCACAACTGAAAGGAAGTCTTCCTGTTTGACCCTCAAACTATCACTGATAGTTTTTTTGGCCTAAAGTCGGCTTTGGCGTCTCTGACCCTTTCTGCTTGATGGGAATACCCTCCCAGTGGTAATCAGTACTTTGGGGTCTCTTTTTCTCCTAGAGTCGAGATTTATGACAGTCAGGGAGACCCAGAGTTTAGTTTATATCTCAAAAGTTAGAGTTGATTCTTCGTTTGTGGCGTCATAGGAAGTGGTTCTAGTGGAGGAACATGGGATTTGAAATTGGAAGATTGATAGTTAAGTCTTGGTACTTCAACTGTGGCCTGTTCAAATAATTTAATCTCCTTGAGCCACATTCCCTTCTCTGTAAAATCTACATACTATCTACCAGGAATAGGAACGGAACCTGTGAGAAGTAATATATGACATGCATGGCATACACAGCACTGTTGCCGGCACAAACTGGAAGCTCAATGATGTTCATTCCAGTCAAACTGTCTTCCTGGTGTTGTTCATCAAATGGTAAACAAAAACTGAAAGAGACCAGAACAAACATGGTATGTTCCTAATCTTGAAGAAGTTCACGGTCTTTTGGGGGAAATAGAATAAAGACACAAACCACATTCCAATGTATTTAGCACTCTGATGGAAATATGGGCTGGCAGTCAATGCTCTGTGCTAAGCACTAGGGATACAGAAATAAAAAACTTCTACCTCAAAGAACACACACAGGAAGGAGACAGATAAACAATTAGTGGTACTCAAATGATAAGTGCTGTGACAGGAGTACGTATAGGGGGTCATGGGGACCCATTAGAGGAGTCCTGGACTAGCCTCTGAAAGCTAGACTCCTCCAAGAAGAGGGCCCATGATGTGAATCTTAAAACATGAATAGGAATTAGCTAAGCAAAGAAATCAAGGAAGAGTTTTGCAAGCAAATGGAGTAGTAAGTACAAAGGATCAAACGAAGAGAGAGATTTGTGCAACCAGGGAACACATGCGATAAGGTCTGAGGGCAGGCTGGTTTGCAAACAATAGAAAGAAAAAGGTATTGTGTACCTTGGTAATGAGCATGGACTCAATCATTTAGGCCATGGCAAGTATCAGATGAGTTTTAAGCAGAGAACTAATTCATTGAGGTTTAGATTTTAGAAAATCACTGTTTGGGTGGAAGTTAGGAAAAGACATTGGAGAAAGACCAGCTGAGAGGTATGAAGGAAAGACAGAAGAAGGGTAATATTCCAGACAACAAAGAAGAGAAGCGAGATTAGAGAGAGGTGTGCAGGACTTGGTAACTGAGAGGTACAGAAGATGAGGAAGAGGGAGGCAACAAGGATGAGTTTGAGGTTTCAGACCTGGGAAGCTAAGTTGACAGTATTACCATTACAAGACTGGGGAAGGTGAAAGAAAGAGTGATGGGGTGGGGGAGAAAGTGGCCAGAAAGTCATTATTAATTCTATTATAGACATGCAGAATTTGAAACACTGAGTGTCCTTGAGGATCTGATCATCAAAGAGTTAGACAGATTGCCTTGGAGTTCAGGAAAGAGATCTGAGCAGAAAATCAAACTTTAGAAGGTAATTAAGGCACAGAATGGAGGAGAACTCTCAGGGATAGCTCAGAGAGAGTGCAGAGGCTCCAAAGATGCAAGCTGGGAGGAGGAACACTGGAGAGGTCAGCAGGAGAAGAGATCAGCTTGAACAAGAGCATCCAGGGAGGCAGGAGAGCTTGACAGTGTAAGTTCAGGAAGCCACCATCTCCAAGTGTGCATATGATGCTAAATGCTATAGAGAGAGCAAGAGGAATTAAAACTGTTCAAAAAATGTAATAATGCCAAAGTTATTAGTGGCTTGGATGTGGGAAATTTCTGTGGAGTGATGAAGGCAGAAATCAGGTATCAGTGAGTTATGAGAAGTGAACTTGACTATAAAGAGAAGGACTGAGATGAGGAGATATCTAAGATTGGGACATAAGGTGGACGGAGTGTTTTGTTTCTTTTGTCATTTAAGGTAAAAGAGACTTCAGACTGTGCATTACACTGGGGGAAATCCAAAAGAGAGGGAAAGAGGTGCTATTGCATGGTCTCTGAGGAAGCAGACAGCAACAAAACTAAAAGCACCAGTCTTGAGAGGCAGTTTCAATAGAGCAGAAACAAAGGGGAAGATGTACGAATGAGGAGGATACAGATCATTTAATTCTGTGTGTGTGTATGCACTCAGTCGTGTCCGACATTTAACTGTGACCACCAGGAAATTCAAGATCACATTCCCATGGACCAGTCTCACAGGTTCTTTCTTCACATCTCATGTAGGTGGTGAGGAAGAAGCTCTGATCACGTGATTGCAAATCAGATTTCAAATCTCAACTAAATAGAACAAGAAGTGTATGCCAGCCAGAGATGCTATAGCACCAATGTAAAGTTCCCTGTCCCTCCCTTGTGTTCACAGAGCCATTCATACATAGCCAGCTCAGCTGAGAAATACCTGAAGACTGAAAGGGGAGTGATACAAGGATGTTTCTAAAACATCAACATAAAGTGACAAAACGGAGAAAAGATGCTGTGAGATCACAGGAGGTGTCATGGAAGTGTGTCTGCAGAAGCCAGACCACCTTCTGGGGCCACATTTTAAGGGGACAATAGGTAAGTTGAAAGAAGTTATAATGAAATGTCTGGAAACATGATGTGAGGAAGAGTTGAGGCAAGTAGGGTGTTTGCCATGTGGAATGAAAGGGTAGGAGAATTCTGGAAGCTGAGGGCCTACTCTCTGAAAGGCTTTCATGTGGAAGATGGATAAGACTTGTTCCAGGTCCTAAAAAGTGCACTTGTGAATTATACTAGAGAGGTAAGTTCCAGGAAAATGTAACTAACTTACATTAGTGAGGGCAGATCATGGGTGGGATCAAATGGCCTGGGAGATAGTGAACATGCTGACCCCATAAGAGGATCAAACAAAGTGTCACTGGGACCAGTCCTGCTGGTCGGGTAGGAAGGTCTCTGGTTCACCATCTCTGGAGGAGTTAGGACTTTGTCATCCTTCTATGCACTTCTTCTTTCAGCTTCATCTGGACCTGATGCCTGATGCCTGGACCATCGCAGTAGTCTGTCAGTAAGCATCCCACTGGTAGTCTTTGCCACAAACTCAGGACCAGGATGAGGAATGTGCAGAGGGATAGAAGGACCAGGAGGAAGTGAATGCGGAGCTCCAAGCCCACTATGCGCCTTCTTTCCATTCATCCCAAGGCCTGGCTTAAGGCTGTACCAGGAAAGAGTGCTAGGATACCAATATCCTGTTTAGAAGCAGTTACATCTCTCCCCTTCCCAAATGAGAACTTCACAGCTTTTCCCACTTCTAATGTCTCCTTCCAGGGTCCAACTTCTATTAACTTGTCATCAATACCTTTATCTATCCTTACCAATGTCTTGACCTGTATCCTCACTGGGCTTCAGAGGAGAGTCAAATGCCTCAGCTCCATACAACAGCCTTCACTTTCTTCTACTTTCCTCTCCCTCAGTTGAGGAGCTCACCCAGAAAACAAATAAAGAAGGAAAGAATATGACAAAGAGACAGACAGATCACTGTTCACAGAGAAATCAGTGAACAGTGGAGGACAAAGGTCACGGAGCAGGCCTGGGTGGCCTGATGTGGATGGAAAGGAGGTGGAAGCAGGCAGGCACATAGTCAGACATATGGGGAGCACAGGGTTGCCCAGGAGTGAGAGAGCATGCTTCAGTTCCCTGTCTCAGGCCCTTCTCCTTACCTGGTGCTGGGCTCAGGGTGGGATGCATTGGGGGCCTGCTGGGTCCTCCTTTAGTATTCTGCTCCTGATCCTCAGGGAGAACAGATCAGATTTTTTTAATGAGCCTCTGTGGGATTCTCCAAGCCCCACAGCAGCCCTCCCAAGCCCCAAACTCACTTTTCACCATCCCAGTGTAGCACTGAAGACCAAACACTCAAGAGTCTGATCCTCCCATCCCGATGCCTCCTGTTTCTTTCAGGCACTCCCTACTCAACTTTACAGTTCAAAGGTCCAGAAATATGAGTATCAATCAGAGCAAGTGCTTGGATTGAGAAATGGCGGGCGGGCGGCGGGGGGGGGGGGGGTGGTGGTGGTGCTGGGATGGCTGGGCAGGCAAGCCAGGGAAGGTTTCTATGCACCATAAAGAATAGGTTTGGGAGGCAGGAAAGGGCTATACTCTGCTATACTCATCCCCCAGAACCCTGTCTTCATCATGCCCTGCTGGGTACTGGTCTGCATTATATCCTGACATCTTAGGGTTTCAAAAGACTGTGGCATCCTGTAGAGAAGTGAATATGCCCTAAGAGATCCTTCATGGAACCTG